AACTAAACAACACACACATATATATAGTATATATATATATATATATATATATATATATACATATACATATACATATATATACATCACTGAAAGTGTAAACCCATGGTCTCAAATTCGATTGGTGGTGGATACGTGATACCCGCAGTATTGTCCAGTGATACGGACTTACTGCGCAACATAACATATGTGGAGCCTCCTTTGCCATTCCGTCCGCGCGCCACCCCTCAAAACGACCAATCATTTTCTACCTCCGAGTCCATGGTTTCCTCACCAGTGACTCATCTTGTCAGCAGTGATTTACACCTGCGGCAAATTGAGCAGCTTAGCGAGTACATCGCTACACGCATGCAGGCATTGAGTAGTTGGGTAGCCAAGGTGCCTAGCGCAGAACTGAATCCTGACGACCCTCACAGCTCACCATCGTCTCCGCCGTGTAAGGCTACGTTGAACCTCTTTCAGCTGGGTGTTTCTTTGGTGCGAGGTGCTCTCATTACATCATACCGGACTGTCCAAGAGGATATTTTTTGCTCGCATCAGCAATTTGGCTCGTACTGTTATGGTGACGAGTCCATCGCTTCGCGAGTTCTTTGTCGTGTTGCTTTAGACACTGAACCAGATCTTCTTTCAGGAGTTCTAGTTGCTTTTATGGCTTACGGGGTTTTGTATGCTCCGACATGCACAGTCGCAGCCACTGCAGCTCCAGCGCTCTCCTCCGATGCACTCGAGCCACCCAAGACTAGTATTGATCAGGCATGCTGGGTTCTACACTATGTTGTCATCCAGCTTAGCAGAATTATGAAAGTGAGCACTGAAACGATTACATTTGATACGGATGAAGTCTCAGCGAGTGCATGGAGGATTTTTCTCCTCCGGATGGGCAACCTTCATTCCATTCTTACCATGATAGACTTTTTTGCTAAGCAGGCTACTCTTGTCAGTTCATTTCCTCCGGCCTTCAATCTTTCCACTCCGCCATACACTTTCGAGTGTTTTCACAAGTTATTCCATGGACGAATGGCGGATAGTCTTCGGGGGGTTATTTCTCCTTCACACGTTCCTTCCACTGTTGCTACAGAGTCTGGGGGAGCTAACAACGGTGTGGAGCCAACATGCGAATTGGAGAGTATATGTACTCATCTTTTCAAGCTTCTCATTGAGTCACTCAGGCCATGGGACCTGTCGTGGGCGCTTATTAATAGCAGCACAAACTTGAGAAGCCTAAAAATCGCACTCGAGAGCTTTCCTGAGGATCTAATGGGTACGTTCCAGGTCATACAAAAGTATTTTACTGACTTTCCTGTGCTCAAGAGCAGAGTATTGGATCATAGAAGGATATGCAGTGTTTTTTTTCAGGTGAGTCAGATGGTAAATTCCGGCTTTTTAGACCTTCCCCGTTTATCGGAGGTGGACCAAAGAACGCGGCAGCTCTATTACTTGCCTAAACTGCTTACAAGTCCTGCGCAAGGCCCGCATGACATCTCTGAATCGGTTTCCACAACGGCTCCGTGGTTGAGTGATCGAGGGAGGGGCGCACCGCCTGAGGCAAAAGCCTGGACCCCCCTCGTGGGCAATTCCAAATTGCCTGCCCCGGAATTCAATGCTCTCCCTGGCTTGAAGGAAATCCGTCGCAACGACTTGGGTATCCTCAGCGCCGAAGGGTCAACACGGTTTCAATCTGTAAGCAAAGACCCACAGCTTTCTTCTTCTTCCCATCTTGACAACGGACTTGGCGAACCCATATCCCCGCTGTTCTGGGAGGACTCTGTTCCGATCTTGGAGCGCACGCTGAGTCCCTGCGCGGGTGGAAACGACCATGCCTCCGTTGTGAGGAGGTGTGGTGGCGTCGACACCACACCTCAGGACTTTATTGGCCTTGTGAACCTAGGCAACACGTGTTTCCTAAACAGCGTCACCCAACTCCTTTTCCGCTCTACCCATTTCGAGCGGAGGCTCATTCAGGACGTTTTGAAGTCTGTCAGAGACGTGCTCGATTGCGGTTCCACTCCCGCGGCGGCGCCAACAGCGCCTGCGAGGCTGGAGTCGCGGCAGATCACAAGGATGAGTGCGATGAGACATCGCTACGTGAAGTGGTCCTTAGGGTTTCTACTCGCAGAAATGCACTGGCGCCTCAGCCAAGGTTATGGGGATCTGAGCTTGAATCCGAAGTATTTTGTGGATAGCCTCCCTGCACTTTTCACGGATGGCCGCCAACACGACGCCTCGGAGTTTTCGAAGGTCTTACTGGAGCAGCTCGACGCCGAGGAGCGCGACGAGCAGCCCGGCGGCGTCGCCGCGGCGGCCCCCACGCTCGTCAGCGAGTGGTTTGGTGGGTCGTTATCGACCGCGATGGAGTGCCTTGAGTGTCGCCGCGTGCGTTTTAACACCGCCTCTTTCTGGGATTGCAGTATTCCCATCTCCAACGGCGTTCGCGCGGCGCCGCTTTGCCCGTCCACGCCGGCGTCGTCGGCGTCATCGTCGGGAAAGGGAGTTCGTGGCAGCGAGGCAGGCGGGGTGGAGTACCACGCCGAGAAGGGGGGGGTGCGCGCGATTACCGTCTACGGCAGCGTCGCCCGCACGCTGGGGGATTCGGATCGAACCCCCCTCCCCGACGACGGCACCACGCACGACGCGGGAGCCACAGGCGTTTCCTTGCAGGCGCTGCTGGATCGGGTGACGGATCCGACGATCAACGCGGAGGTGTTGGATGGGCTCGAGTGCGAGCCCTGCGGGCGACGCACCAGGACGCGTCTCTCCACGCGCATCCTGGATTGCGCACCGGCGGCGACGCTGCGATCCCGCGAGGGCGTCCCGCACTACCTCACGCTCCAGCTTAACCGCTTCACGTACGAGGCGGAGACCGGACGTTACGAGAAAATCCTCGACCCTGTTATTCTGAACGAGATCCTCCTTCTGCTTTGTTTCGGCGCACCGGGCGACGATCCCGCGGCGACGTCTTCCTTTATGGGTCCTTGTGGTCATAGCTTCACGCCCAGACGAGTTTTGTATCGTCTGCGTGGCTTTATCATCCACAGCGGCTCCACGCCGCACAGTGGGCATTATTTCACGATCGTGAAGCGACGCGCAGGGCGCGGCATGACCTCTGAAGATCGGGCGCAGGAGCGCGCTGGGATGCTTGAAGGCGCCGCCACCGCGGTGCATGAGACCTCCTCATCGGGGAATTCCACCGCACGTTCTACCCTCACCTATCGTCAGGGAGCACAGGTGACCCCTTTTTACGCGAAGCATTGGATGATGCTGAATGACTCCTGTGTGCAACCTATCAGTGAAGATGTGATGCACGGTGTGCTCTCGGGAAGCTCCGGCGTTTATAGTTCCATGGAGGTTCCCTACATCGTCCTTTACGAGCGTGTGGAGGAAACGGATCCGCTTGAGAGCGACGCCGATGGCGAGGAGGATGCATTGGGGGGCGCTGAGGAAAACGCACCAACGAACAGGGTGGAAGTAGCTCTAGGGCATTTCCATGCCCATCCCCAGCAGCATCAACATGTGGAGTTACTGAACGGAAAAGACCCACACAGGGAAGACCCCCATGACAAACAAATTTACTCTCGGGGCGCGAATCCATTACTCTCAAGAATTTTGAATGATCTTCCGTTCCCTATCAGAGAGCTTTTCAGACAGCATGTGGAGCAGGACTTGTCTAGTTCAAATACAAGCAACTTTCCGACATCGTCTGCTGAATACATCCCCGTTCCCCTGGAGGGCCGGGTGAATAGGGCAGCCATGCATTCCATCAGCGATGGGGATGCGAAAAAGACGGTGAAGAGGCCACCGAATCGGCCCGATCCCCCGCGCGGGGAAGAACCTTTGTTGTCGGGGAGCGACAGCGATGACGAGGAGGGGGGCGCGGGCGGTAAGGGATTTAGCATACGTAGGGGTGATTTCCTCACGGATAACTCCTTCAGCAGACCTTTTCTGTAGTTTCCTAATATGAATCGATTGGGCGGTGCGGTGATGGCAATCCAACATATGCGGACTAGGTCCGTAACAGAGAGTCTGTATACTGAGTAATGTATTCTGAATGCGAGTAGATTAGGCTGATGGGGTGATGATAGGGATTCATGAAACACTTTAATGTTATTGTTAGTGTGCCTCCTTATGTAATAGGTAGTGCATTTTAAATTTGTGTATCCCTGACTTATGGGAAGCTTGAAAAGAACAGCCGAAAACTCGATCATGGGAAATATGACAACATCAGAAATATTATTTTTATTATTTTTATTACTGTTTTTGCTTCTAACAGGTTGGAAAGTCATTACACATAGTGATGGGGGATAGGCGGGTGATGGAATCAAGGGACTGACGAATACGCTAGAGTGAACGAGTCATTGATTCCAGAATTACAAATGTTGAATCATTATGTGGTCTGACTGTTTGGCCATTATCACAGGCATCTGTTTTCTTCTTTGAATTAGATAAAACAGTGAGGTATTATTTAGAGTATTAATCAAATAGATTTACTAACTTACTTCTTTTTAAACCAATAAAAAATTCATATGCGTGCAAGCTTATCTTTATCTGTGATCAAATATGCTAGACTCAATTATTCACATATACAAATATACAGGTACTTTCTACTAGTACAAAGATGCAGGCCTCTGATGTAGATAAAGGAATTGATCCTACGCACCCCAGTACCAAACTACACCAACGCCAATCACCGTTATCGTGCTCTTTTCGATTTGAACCAAGATACCCACGGTACGTAGTTGTGATTGTCATGAAAGCGGACGTGGCGGGGATGCCTCTACTTTTTCATCCATGACATTCGTGATGTGGAGCTACCAGTCTGCTTTAGCAACGGGATCCAGCCCCGCCCCACGGTGGCTGAGACCGCAGTGGGTGTTAAAAGGGAAACTAGATGCGATAGGGGGGAGGGGGAGAAGGAAAACAAAGATGACGACAATCACCGCTCTCTTCCTGCTTGCTACTGAGGGCCGTGATGGTGGCGGCGACGTCTTTTTCTTCGACTACGGAGGACTTTGAGAATGCGATAAACTCCTTTCGGGGAGCTCGACTGCTGTGGAGTCTATTGCAGAGTCGGAGCTTTCGCGTAGGTGGTGCGAACTGCCGATTTGTCGATCCCCCTCCGGCGGTGTGCCCCGCGTTGACGTGGGGTCCGACATGTTTGCGACAATTTCACGAGCACTGTAACATCTCAGGCCGCTTTAGGGGTACGGAACCGAGGAGAAGGTTGGGAGATGGGAGCGCAGGATCCGATCAACATGTGTGCGAATGCCGTTGCAGCCATCATGGGTAATCGCCTTTCTTCTGCCATGACAACCGACAAGACGGCACAATACGCGAGGAATGATGTTGAGTACGAGGATTTTACCCTACGTTTCTATGCTATCTCCGTCCAATCAAGGTATGGCAAACATGCCCAACTCGAGGATAAAGAGGAGATAGAGCGAAGCGGGGTGCAGCGATGGTGTGATGAGGCTTCAAGGTTTAGTATCGTGTCGTTTGGGCGTTTAGCATTGTCAACGTTACCTCTTCAGGATGCAATCCTGTATGCTAATTTCTCAGGGTGCTTGAATCGTTCAGAGGTGAAGACGATGGTGTAACGCTGAACGTAGCCTCAGACAGAAGTGTATTTATTATACACCGACATCTTTCTCTACATGTACATATATATATATATATATATATGCAATGTTAATAAACATTAATGTCCTATCATTGTATTTCTAGCAGCTTTTATCGCTGTTTAGTAGCTCACCGATGAGTTTTTTTTTAATGATAACCAATATGTATGAATGATTCGAACAATCAAATGCCCTTAATTGCTTTTTACACTCATCAGGTGTACCGCACAAAAGTAAGCTAAATGAACCTTCTAATATACATTATTTTAATATAAAAAATAATAAATGTACAATTCAAAAGATAAAAAAAAGTAAACCATCATATGAAAGGATATTATTACTATTTTTTTGGCTGGAAAAAGGGAGTCCCTTATTCGTCTGTTTATCTTCAGACTATCATTTTATGACATTGTTAGTGAATTATCGCATGTTATATGAGGAAATTGACGATAAATAGTCTTTAATATTTTTGTTTGGTTTCTATATTTTTGAGCGATCTGAGGAGACTTAGTTGCTTTGTTTGAATCATCGGTTTTGGCGCTGTTCACCGATAAAATGACATCGCGTTGTAGCCTCTTATCCACTTAGCCCTGGTTCTTCTTTGACGATTTAACTCTCAAAGGAGTTTGATTGGTATATCGTTTTCTTTTTAGAACTTAAAGGATTCCTATTGCTTTTCTAATTCACTCAGCCTTATTTTAGTTTATTATTTATTTAATTTTGAATTTTGCGTTCTTCGCCTGAAAAAAAATACCAAGAAGGTTCTAGGACCTCTTTTTCTTAGGAAAATATTTTTAAAAGGCTACACAATCATATATATTTTCAAAACTTTTCTTTCTAGGGTTTTTGATGACTGCCGTAGCAAAGAGTGTTGGGCCGACGGGTAGCCTGTGTTCCGAGCCCCCTGCTAAGCGAGCTCTGAAGGACCACAATGCGAGCGATACTCTCTTCGAGGAGTATGAGCGGCTTCAGCGCAGCATTCAGACGATTGAGCTTCGCACGATGTTATGCCTCACCGAAACGCACCACCTCCTCAAGGAAGAGAATGCCGCGAAGCAGGAGGTGAAGCGAATCCAGGCCGTCCCCTTGGTGCTTGGCAACTTTGTCGAGGCGGTTGACGCGTCGCGCGGGATCGTGAGTGGGACCACCGGCGCGCAGTACTTCGTGAAGATCCTCTCCACCCTCAACAAGGAGGAGCTGAAGCCGAACACGAGTGTGGGGCTGCACAAGAGCAGCAACGCCTGCGTGCAGCTGCTACCGAGCGAGACGGACGCGACCATCTCCCTGATGAACTCGAGCGAGCGGCCGGACGTGACCTACGCCGACGTAGGGGGGCTGGACATCCAGAAGCAGGAGATCCGCGAGGCGGTGGAGCTGCCCTTGACGCACGCGTGGCTGTACCAGCAGGTCGGGATCGACCCGCCGCGCGGGGTGCTCCTCTACGGACCGCCCGGGACCGGCAAGACGATGTTGGTTAAGGCTGTCGCGCAGCACACGAAGGCCGCCTTCATCCGCGTGGTGGGCAGCGAGTTCGTGCAGAAGTATCTCGGAGAGGGGCCTCGTAAGGTGCGCGATGTCTTCCGCCTCGCGCGCGAGAACGCGCCGTCGATCATCTTCATCGATGAGGTGGATTCAATCGCGACGAAGCGGTTCGACGCCCAAACGGGCGCCGATCGGGAGGTGCAGCGGGTGCTGGTGGAGCTGCTCACCCAGATGGACGGCTTCGATCAGGCCACCAACGTCAAGGTTATCATGGCGACCAATCGGTGGGATACGCTCGACCCCGCTCTCCTGCGCCCTGGCAGGCTGGATCGGAAAATCGAGTTCCCTTACCCGGATCGGCGGCAGAAGCGTTTGGTTTTTCAGGTCTGCACCTCGAAGATGAACTTATCCCCTGAAGTCGACCTGGAGGAGTTCGTAGCACGCCCGGAAAAGCTCAGTGGCGCGGATATCCAGGCCATTTGCAAAGAAGCTGGTATGTCTGCGGTGCGCAAGAACAGGTATGTGATTCTGCCAAGGGATATGGAGAAGGCGTATCGAACCGTGATTAAAAAGACGGGTGACGAAAAGTATGACTTCTACACATAAATATGAACACCGCTTTATTTCCAACAATATGAGCAAGCTCATCAGCCAAACTTGGAGACCTTTTCTTTCTGACTCAAGATGCTCTTTTTGCTCCGTAGAAGTAAGCTGTGAAGGAGCGTTGCGTCTTCCCGGAAGGGCTTCCCATATACGCAAAAACGTGTATGTACATGACCTCCTTTATTGTGCTCAAACCTTACCACCATAAATGAAACTACAACCGCGAATGTACTTTCTGTTAACAGAAAGAAAAGAATAAAGTGTAACGGATTCAGTGATGCAGATAACTAAAAGCCTACTGTAAAGGTGTATTTGTGTGTGTGTGTGTGTGTATGAGGGGCGGGAGGACTAATTTATATTCGATTTGCTACTTCATTGGAGGTACAGCATGAGCCGAAATCTGAGTACTTGTATTTTTTTCTACTTGGCGCTTTGAAGGAGTATATATAAAAAGGATCTTTCCCTTTCTACTTCACTGTATTGGGGTTGACGACTCGCCTCATGCGGGATTTTGGTTACATCAAGTGATATGTGAAAATTTTGGTGTTTTCTACGAAAAGTTTGCCGCCAGTGTCGTAAATTGGACAGATTCCGTGCTGTTATCCTCTGCTTTGAGCTTTCCAGATATATTTTTGCACTCTTTTTGTTCTTTCTGTTTATCGATTTGCCTTCCCCCCCCCCCCCCCTCTTTGAAAGTCAAGACGGTGGTCTTATCATCCTTAAAGCTTATATACAAAAAAGACTCCTACATCTGCCTGTTTTCCTTTTTTAGTTCGATACGAATGGCAAAACATCTGAGTCGAACCTGGGCTACGAAGGAATTCGGCTCCTCCTTCACGGTTGGTATTATCCCAACACTTCGGGATAACTTTTCGTATCTTATTCAAGATCTGAGTACTGGGACTTACGCGGTGGTGGATTTGAATACCGACTTCGATCCGATACTCCGCTACATTCAGAAGGAAAAGCTCGGCAAGAGTAATAACATTCCATGGGCGGTGAGCACAGTGCTAACCACACACAAACACTGGGATCACGCTGGCGGGAACGCGGAATGCGGGCGCCTGTGTAGCGGAAGCGCAGCTCGACCGACAATAGTCGGCAGCATCCGTGATAACGTACCACATGCCACGAAAGCCGTTAAAGAAGGGGATGTTGTCAAGGTGGGCAACCTCCACGTTGATGTTCTTGATGTACCATGCCACACTTCAGGCCACGTCGCCTACAAGGTTTATAATCCTGATAAACTACAGGATGGAATCGCGTTGTTTACTGGCGATACGCTGTTTACCGCGGGGATTGGTGCCTTTTTTGAAGGTACTGCGCAAGATATGTGCAAAGCGATGCGTAAGATTTACTACCTTAATCAATCTATGGGTGACAACATGGATAGCAAGACGTTTGTGTTCCCTGGTCATGAGTACACGGTAGGGTTTATGAAGTTCTCTGAAGCCAACTTTCCTGTCCGCAGTCATGAGGATTATCAGTTTATTAGGGATCAGTTGGAGTCGTACCAGATGGCGGTAGGACGTGGCGCTCCCACTGTCCCTAGCAGTCTCTCAGACGAAAAGAGACAGAATTTGTTTCTACGCGTCGTCGAGGAAGGGTTTAGACATATGATGGGAAGGGAGAACGAGGTACAGCTCATGGACTACTTATACAATATTTGCGACTAAGCATATCGATGCAGAATGAAAAAGAAAACATTAGTCTAGGCAGTCCGGTGAGGCTGACTTATAAGGGAAGGTGTGGTGGGCATTGCATAAAAAACGATGGAACGCGATGCCCTTTTTGTATGATAACGACATATCTTTTTAAAATGCTTATGATAACCACCTTGCGATTCTTACAAAAAAAGAAAAGAAAATAACCGTTGAAATGGTGTGTGAGCGACTGACTATGAAGTTTTACATACCCTTCAAGCAATGATAGGGTCTCGATCGTAACTCATCTTTAGATCCTCAGAAGAATGTGTTAATACTTAGTTGCGCATGCATCATGCGGTATCTTGCCTTATTTTTCCTTCCTGTGGCTTTATAAACTGTCTGTTCATTGAATCATTAAAAACGCACCTCTAAGTGCGGTGTAAGTGTTGACCTAAGACACCTCTACCCTCTCACTAAATATGGTTACTACATGCTAAACAACCAACTCAGTAATGTTCTTTCTTATCTCATTTTTTTATTTGACGAAATTGTGTGATTAGTTTCTCAGAGTCCTCTAGTCATTTGCAGAACGATACGGGATTCTGCAAAAGTCGCTAAACATCGCTATCTAATACGTATTGCATTTAGTTGCGTTGTCCGAAAATGACCCATGATGACAGCTCCAAGGGTCGCGTTGTGGAGCGTCTTTTGCCGTCTCTGAAGGATCACATCTGGGGTCCTTTGGCGTATCCGCCATCCCCGCTCGTGGTACCGTCGTCGTCGGCGTCGCATCCTGTTGCAAGCGCGGAGAATTCTTCACTTCTCCAAGAGAGCTATGTGCGGTGGCGGCATTGCTTTGGGGTGTGGCGGAAGGTACTTGGAAATGACATCATCTTATTAAGCCTCCTCTTGCATTCGGGCTGCATCTGGGCTCCGAATTACGACACCCTGCTCCAGGAGCGGCAAAATAGCCTAAGGAAATCCCAAAAAACGTTCGGGAGGGTGTGCAAGGATGCTAGACCAAAATCGGCGGTGCGGATAGGAACGGGCGCCCATAGGGCGCCGCGAAGGGGTCTTTTTCTGAAGAGTGGAACCGCAAAGTTGAGGAGTCGCTGCAACAGCAGTAGATTGCAGGGTCACGAGGAGGAGAAAGGTGTCGCATTGAACTACTTGAGGCTTGCAAACAAAGAGCCACATAGCATATTCGCGCTCAACGTGTTGCATTTTCTTAACCTTGTTGAGGTTATTCGAGTTCCGGACTTTTTTAGTGAGGTGGAGGCAGGTTCAGACGGCTCATTGTTTGCCTCTTCAGGTATTACCGATGGAGTAGATAGGTGCAGCAGTGATGAAGAGGGGCAGAAGGCCTCATCACTTACCACTTCCAATTCTTTCGAGAGAGAATTGGAAGAAAGGGGTGACGATAGTGCTCGGGATCCATCCATGTTGGCTGTCTTTCCCTTGCCAACTCAGGCAGATGGAAGGAGTCCTTTAGGAAGGAAGCGTTTCAGAAGGAAGTCCGCCGGCAGCGCATATGGGAAGCGGCACCAGCGCCCTAAAGTACCTGCAGTGAGTGTAAAGAACGACAACACCTTTGCCTCCTCGCGTCCTTGTGGAGGTCTTGGGGGAGGACCTAGCAGGGGAGCAACCGATGCTCGAGCTTTTACGAAGAGTGGCCTTGAAGCGATGGGGGGGGATGGGGTTGGGTCTTTAGGTGTATCTGAGCAGCTTCTCTTTGTTGACAAACGCATGGTGGACGCTCTTTCAGCTTGCAGGTCTCTCTTTTCTTCGAGGAGTCGCGCCGGCGGCCATGATCGCCCGGCATCCCTTCACTTTCCCACGCCACTGCGGCCAACCGCTCTCAAGGAACCTCCGCCCGCACCCCCCGTCTTAGCGGTGGATGGCTCACCGCCCTTACCGATGTCCTCGGATAATTCGGACGCCGTGCTCAGCGATCGCGACCTTCAACTTCTCTGGATGGCGGCCGTCACCGTAGACGACGAGGACGAGCCCCTTGTTCAACGAGTGGGCACCTGGCTCGTGGACGAGTGGTTCGCGCTGTTGCGGTGTGATCTCGTGGGCGGAGAGGTCCCATGCGCGCTTTACGGGCTGCGCGCCTACTGGTTGGCGTCCGCTTTCAAGTTCTCCGCCTACGTCGACGGCACCCACACCGCACTCCTGGATGAGAACGTGCACCTGCAGAGCGTGCTTCTTCGCCAGGCCATGCCGCCGCAGAGCACCACGGAGCTTTTCCATACCGCCATTCCGAGCATTCTGCTTTGCTACCTGGTTGAAGAGGTCGCTCGAGGGGGGGGGGGGATTCCCGCACCGCCAACTTGGACGGTGGTCCCCCCTACGCGTTGTATTTACCGCCGCCGGCGTATTTGTTCCCCTTCCATGCCCTCGGCGGCGGCTCGAAGGTGAGGACCTTTGAAGGGGCGGCGGCGCGGCCGGCTCCGCCGCGGCCCCAAC